TTATTGTTTCATTAAACTATTTATAATTTCATCACGTACGAAATTCATCCGACAAGAACTGTAGTTTTCATGATTTTTTGAGCGTACAACAAAATCATGTAAAATATCATTAAGAACAAAATTAGAATTACGATTAAATTCTGTAAAGGCTACGCTATCATGCAATTTCTTTCTAATTTATTTAGTGTCATTGAATAATGTTAAACATTAATTTTTTTAATAAAACACATTTATAAAAAAAAAATTAGATTTTTTACTGTTCACGTAAATAGTGAAAGTGAATAAATTCACAGCATTGTTCGTATGAACAGTGCAAGTGAAAATCACAATACTGTCAACGTGTTAACAAACAAATGTGTAGAGTGAATTAATTCACTTTGCACACTGTTCACTTTTGTTAAGTGTACAGTGCCAACAAAGTAGGTATAAATTGCTTTTGTGCGATTTTCGTTGGGTCCTATAAACTAAAAACACTGCTTTCCACTTTAACCAGACAACATAAAATTGTGGTTTCTTCAAAACACAATTGTTGCCACGCAAACAAAAACAGGGCTCTGGTTTATATACACATAGTTACATATTGATAGCGAGGTTTGGAAGGGACAGCCCCGCTATTAAGGTGAAGCAGGGCACTGAGTTGATGGTTGTATTTTCAAGAAAACTGTATTGGAAAAACAGGGCTCTGGTTTATATACACATAGTTACATATTGATATACATGTTAATTTATTGTTGTCCTTAGTTCACTAGCTTTGGGAGATCTCATGACTATGAAAGCATCAAATATGCTTTAATCACTATTTTCTTATTCTTGCAAATGTCTTCTATTTAAATTGTTCTTATTGTTTTTACTAACGTGTATGATACCCTTTGTTTCAGGATTTTCAGAAGGATATCATTAAAGCAGCGGAATCCTTTACGGCCATAGGGTATAAACATATTGAAGCAGGTGAAAGTCAATTGATACTATGTCCAACCACTTTCTATTAATATTGAGGAATATAAAAGGGGATTGAATGAACTCGATGTAGGGTTCCTATATGTTTATTTATTTTAAATATTATTGTGATATATAGGGCCTTTGTGCTTATGTTTATCTAATACAAACTTTATGGTAGTTAGGAACCAAGTTGTCAGAGGATTGCTGCAGATATGGAACTGACAACATCAATGAGAACATACTGGCTAAAGCTGCAGCTATATATGGTGATGCTCATAAACATGTGGAACAGGAGCAGGACGACTTGAATCGCCTGTTATTTTCACAGGTTAATTTTTTTTTCCCTCTACATATGGAATCAATTTTGACATTTTATGCTGTCAATGCAGGAACATTTAATTATTGTTTCATAGTGGCTATACTTCAGACATTTTGGAACTCCCAAATATGTTTTAACAAGTCATAGTTCTATGGGTTATTGTTTTTGTTTATGTTGTGAGATAAATGATAGCCATTTGTCTTTACCTTGCTGAAAGCTCTGCGTCATGGATATCTTGCAGAGGATTATACTTTTGGACATCTTTTGCTAGTCAGATTAGTTTTCTTTCAGAGTTGAAAGTTAAAGCTTTTCCATGTTGCATTGAGAAAGGAAAAATTGAAGAACTGTAGATATAAATAACCAGAACTGATGATAACCACAAAAATAAGATTTGTGTAGTTGATTATCAAAGGCCAATTATTGCCACAATTATTCATGAATTGACTAAGAGATGAACGTTATTCTTCAATTTCGTTTCATCTTTCCAGATTTTAGATCCCTTGAGAGCAACGATTACTGATTCTCCTTTGGAAGATGCACGCCACCTTGCTCAACGATATAGTAGGATGAGACAAGAAGCAGAAACACAGGTAATTGGAACTGCACTCAGCTGCATTATTGTTACATAGTATTGCATAATCATCATGCTTCAACCATCACTTTATGTTGCAGACTCTTGGTATTTGCTATAAGCTCATCATTCATAATTTTTTATTGACCATTTAAAGCACACAGGCTGCAGAGTTTTCCAGAAGACAAGCACGGGTACGGGAATCACCAATTCCTGAAAATATTGCAAAGCTGCATGCAGCAGAAGCAAAGATGCAAGAAATAAAGGCAAATATGGCAGTTCTTGGTAAAGAAGCGGCGGCTGCATTGGCTGCTGTTGAAGCACAACAGCATAGATTGACTTTCCAACGGCTTGTTGCCATGGTGTGTGTAATTTTTCAGGACAGTATTTTCTAGTTTGAAGCTTAAAAACTTTTGAATTTTATATTTATGATTTGCTTACATTATTGTAGGTTGAAGGAGAAAAAAATTATCATATGAGAATTGCTGCTATTCTTAGTGAGGTTGAAGCTGAGGTCAGTTCTATGTTCATTTTTTTCATGAAAAAACTTTTGATGATATGAGCAATGCAACTTACAGTCTGAACTTGTGTCAGATGATCTCAGAGAAACAGCAAAAAGAGTCTGTCCCTCCAGTGATTCTGCTTCCTGTTATTCAATCAGAGAATGGTTCAGAGAAAACCACATACTTTCTGGCTGAAGTAAGCATTCTATATTAGACTCTAATAGACACTGAAACTTTACAGGGCGGGTTTGCAAGTCTCTTCAGAAAGAAATATGTTATTTTACTTACTCTGATATTAGCATGCTAGGCTTTACATAAGTTTCAAGCTGATGCTGATGCCTCAATCAAGTAACATTGAAGGAGCTTGTAATTGACTCATTAGATCTCTTGTAAACAGCTCACCACCTTAAAGATCATCATGCAGAATCTACGAAGAGACAAGATGGTGTGATTGAAGAGACAAGATGGTGTGATTGAATCGAATAGCAAATAATTGCATATTGATCTCCACATTTATCCATAAGTGGTTATTAGGGATAAAAGTGTGCACACTTGAACCGTTCTCTGATTTCTTTTGCGACCTACTGTTTCTTTGGATATTTTTCCTGTCATGTTGATGAAAAACTGTTGTCCTTTTGGGCCCAGTGCTGCTAGTCAGGTCACTACCATTATTATTTCCTGTGCATAGGGGTTAACAAGTGAGATTCTTCAAATCCTCCCTGACGCCTCTCCAAATACCCGCATAAAGGGATACTTGGCATTTGGGAGACCTAACCTTTTGCTGTTGACTCCTGTTTGCAAATTGTACATGGCCAGTTCTGCTTTTCAAGCATGGGAGCTCAATCAAGAAGTCTTAATGTGGGAACAAGTCCATAATCCTTTTTTCATGCATAGAGTTTGTCTTATCAGAGGAGAAAGATTATCAGCTTTGTATGAAATGAAAGTGAAAAAGGAAATGAAGTTAACTGGAGTTTAATTGTTGAAAACATGGAATTCTATGTATGGTTTCAGCTGAAAATTCGCATCACTAACTTGATTCTTTATGCAAAGTAGATATAGCAATTAATTTAGTTACTGTTGCATGCATTCTTCATCAATTATACTGTGTTTTAGATAGATCATAAGTTGTGAAATTTTGGTTACATCTTGCAGGCAACACATCTTTTCATTGCCGAAACAGAGAAGGAGCTGAGCTTGGCAGTGGGTGACTGCATTGTTGTGAGGAAGGTTATCTGGCTTTTCCTTCTTACTGTTGCAATTGCATTTGGAAGCATCCTTTTAACAGACAGATCAACCATGTGAATTTAGAAGTTCCCAACTTCTATTGTGCTTGGAGCATAGAAAAAGAACTGACATGTTGCACTATTCAATTTTTGAGGGACACAAGCCTTGCCTTACTTGCATCTAGTCTCTGAAAGACTCATAACATTCTCACTGAAGGGAGACACTCATCCAAACACTACCTGTTTTATCTAGCAGCTCCCAGAATTGATTAAACTCTTCATAAGAGTAACGGGAGACCATGAGATCCATTCAGATTCTTTATGATTGTGTTTCATGGAATGAATGTGTTGGATCCATATCATATACAACTTGAGTGTTTTGTTTCCCATAGTTGACCTCTTTATAGATTATTCTATTTTACCTTAGTGTACAATCAATCATGTCAAGGAACGCATCTCCCTTTGTGGTTAGGCCTGTATGTTTCGGTTCCAGTTAAAGTAGAATAAGATAAATTGTAAATCTCATTTCTCTACCTTTATTTGCTTCCACATTATTTCTAAGATATGAATTTCCAGGTGAGTCCAACTGGGTGGTCAGAAGGAGAATGTAAAGGCAAAGCTGGGTGGTTTCCATCAGCATATGTGGAGAAGCGCCAGAGGATTCCCACCAGTTTGGCTGCTCAAGGTTACTAAGTCTCAACTGTGCTTTTGTGGTTTGTTCTTTGTTCCTCCAAATTCTAGAAATTGCTGCTCATCGTCAATAAGGAGATGTCAAGGGGGAAGAAGAAAGGGAACCCTCCAATTCTTGTGATATATCAAGGCAAAGTACTTTCGATTGTATATCCTCTCACTGAATCTTGGGAAACAAAAATATTTGAATTAGTTAAGCTATTCCTGTCACATAAGCAACACAATAGTGCTCATCAATCGCTCCAAATAAAAGGCTGTACCATTAGGTGTTCATGTTTTCATACCCCTTAGGATTCCTTGTTTTAAGTTTTAGTTATTGTTGGTTTGAAAAAATATATATTTAATTAAAATTGTGATAGGAATTGATATTGAATAAATAATAATTTAATATATTTAATTAAAAATATTTTTTAAATTAAAGTTATAAAATATTTAAAAAATAAATTAATATTGATAGTTTTTAACTGAAATATTATAGATTTAATTACTGTTATTATATTATGAAATAAATAATATTTTATATAAAGTATTTTTTTATTGTTTTATTAAACTATTTGTAAATTCATCATGTATGAAATTCATCCGATAGGGATTCTTGTTTTCATAGGTTTCTGATCATGTAACAACATCAAGTAAAATATTATTATTTTAAGTAAAATATTATCATTAATAAAATTAGAATTGCAATCATATTTTGTAAATGCTATGTCATCACGTGATCTCTTTCTAATATAATTATGTAGTATTATTGAATAATGTTAAGTTTGTAAATGCTATGTCATCACGTGATCTCCTTCTAATATAATTCTGTAGTATTATTGAATAATGTTAAGTATTAGTTTTTCAAATAAAACACAATATTTGAAAAAAAAATTGAATTTTTTTAAATAAAACACAATATCTGAAAAAAAATTTGGATTTTTTAATTTTATCTGGTTAGACCCAGACATTGGACATTTAGGTTGGGCTAGACTCAGTTCGGCTATGAACAGTTGATATGCTCTCCATTGTTCACATGAACAGTTGAGAATATAGAAGACGAAGGAAAAGAAAAGGGGAGAAAAGTAAAAGAAAGAGTAGTGGTTGGCGGTGAAAACAACAGAGGTTGGTGGTGAGTTGCTTTTCACTGTTCACGTGAAAAGTGAAGAATACAGAAGAAGAAAGGGAAGAGGAAGAGCAATAGCTGACAATAGAAACGGTGGAAGTCAGTGGTGAGCTCCTCTACACTGTTCACGTGAACAATATAGAATGCAAAAGATGAAGCAAAAGGAGAAGGGAAAAAGGAGGAGCAATGGTTGGCGGTAGAAATAGTGGAGATCGGTGGTGAGTTGCTCTTCACTATTCATGTGAATAATGGAGAATGCAAAAAACAAAAGAGAAGAAGAAAGGAAATGAGAAAAGCAGTGATTGGCGGTGGAAACAGTAGAGCCAGGTGGTGAGATGAGGGAACTACTCTCTACTGTGTATTGTTCAGTACTTTGTTTCTATTTATCTTCTTTCACATCTCTGTTTATTGTGTTTATAAACACATTTTGTAACTCAGCACAAAAAACAGTTTGATGTTGCTTTTCATTGTTTTGCAGTTTAACCCAGATGGTCATGGATCCCACAAACAGTAATGTGCATTTAGACCGTAACCAAACACATGACAACAATACTTTTCTGTAAATACAGCTACAGTTGTAGCACGAAACACACATTAAGATCCTTATATTATTATTATTTAACTTTGTATTTATATTTTTATCATTCTTGAACTCCGCCATCAGTTGTAAAACTTGACTTATAAATGTATTTTATTGAGAGATAATTCATGAAAAAAACAAAAATGAAAACCAAAGTGAAAGCACCTCAACTATTTAAAACTAGAATTTTATTTTTGAAAAAAATAAATATGTAAATTTAATAATTAAATTAAATATCAAGGAGATGTTAGACATAGAGCACGTGTTAATACATTATAATACATTATAGAGTTAACAAATTAATTAAATTTAAAGGCATCAATGCTATTAATTTGATAAAAGAATATAATGATGACTAAAATATAACTTGTTAGTTACTAAGTTGATATCAAAATAAAATAAAAATAAAAGTAGTAGAGATACTTTTTAAACACAAAATAAATAGCATAGAGATGTATATAAGCATTATTAAGCCTTTCATGTGAGATGCCATGTAATATTTTGCCATTTTCTAGATAAAGTGCATGAAAAATATAATTTTTTTAATATTATTCAGTCATTTAAATAATTACAACTTTAATAGTACAAGATTATAAAGATTATATATAATATACAAATAATATATGATATTTTCATAATAGATAAAAGATTTGATGATAGACAAACAAAACATGAAATAAGGTGTAGCCGTGAAATATGTCTAGTTAAAGAGTCTCCATGTATACATATCATTATAGTTGCCAAAAATATTCTTTTAACACGACATAAAAAATATAATATAAATTTAGATTATAAAATTATAAGTAAATTTTTTTAACTAATTATATAGACAATTTCAGTCAAATAGTAAATAAGAGTATATCACAATTAAAACAAAAATAAAATAAACAATACAAAAGTTCAAACATGTTAAAATACATAGTTTAAATAAAATGCATATATAATTTAACTAAAAAATCCCTTATAATATAATTATTTTCATAAAATTTTATTAACTCCCTGAAATAGTCACTATTTATAGAAATATTTTATATGATTAAGAAAAGACTAGTAATTGATAAACTATATCCAGAAACCATCATATACTATAACTCTTAATTCTAGTCTTCAAAATTTAGTAAATGTTATATAATATCACTATTAAACAATGAAATCAAACAATCATACACTATCAAAATTTAGTAAATATTATATAATATTACTATTATTGATCATCACAAAAACATTGATATGAAAGAAAAAAGAATAAAAAGGAAAAGAAAGAAATAGGACAAGAAATAAGAATAATTAGAATAATTGCAAATTATTAATAACTTAAAAATAATTACATGATAATCGGCACTATAAATGTATATGAATAAAATGAAATTAGTAAACATATATGGGTATTTTTAGGTTTAGTTTAAGACAAAGGTGAGTTAATTAGGGGAGTATTTATAATTCCATTAAAATTTTAAATTGGGAGAGAGAGAGAGAGCATTTGCATGCATGATTTTAACTAAGTTTACTAATTTTACACAAATCAAGTTTGATTTACTAGTTCTTGAATTTTTAGTTTGATTTTTCATGTCAATGTATATTGACTTATAAAATCATATAATTTACAAGTCAATTCATGAATTTAACAACCATACATGATATCATGTTTATATTCAATATGATTTTAACCTATTTTAATCCACCTATTATTCTGACTTTTAAATCCTCCTTGCTTTCTTATTTTTCTTGCATTTACTCTAAAAAAATATCTCATCTCAACTTGCATAATTATATGTTTTTTTTTTCTATCAAAACAACTAACTTTCTTAAATTTTCCTTGTGCTTTCCATTCCCCAAAAGTTCTAGGAATGTTGTCATTGAAATGAAAAAAGCACCAAATCTTATACCATTGGAGGGAGAAGATAGAAATGTGAAAGAAAAACAACTAATTCGAACTCCAATAAAAGTCTCAAGTTTCTGCAAATATTTTTATTTTTATTTTTGTTTTTTTATGTTCTTGTTCTTTACAGTAACAATTGAAATTTTGTTGATCCCGAGTTCGGGAACAAGGTTCCTGAATGTTGTTTATCTATTTTTTTTTTTTATAGTTGGATACACATTTTATTTTGTGAAGCTTATTATATATCAAGGTTGAGAAAAATATACTTTTTATCTTATATTATGGTAAAAGAGCAAATAATAAGATTCCTAAACTTAACAAAGGATGAGAAAAATGTATTTCTTCCCTCATTTCATTTTTGGTTTTCTTGTCTAGATGCGTTTTCATCATTTATTCAAATTATAAATTTACCCCAATCTACAAATGAATGACTAACATGAGAGTAAGATTTTTAAATTTATAGGCTTCACATGGAATCCATTATCACGGGTCATGGAAACTATATGATGAAAATCATTAAGAAACACCATATGATCCATTACATATGTCAATTAAACCTATTAAAATGTTAGAAGCTAAAAAGATTAAAGAGAAAGTTAATATATTTGAGCTTTATTTTCTACAAGACTTGCAGATTCAACTTATTTTCCACTTAAACCTGGATTATAGGTGCTAGGGAAGTGATTGATATGGTTCCCAATCTTGATTAGTACAACTTTTGATTCAATTGTTACACTGAGTTTAAATTTTATCATAAGATTTTAAAGGTCTTATTTTCTATATGATTAATATTTTATAGCAATAAAGTATTGGAAGGCCTTACGATAAGATGTAGAAGTTACTATTTAGGATTTTTGATATTTTTCTAGTTGATTTATGATTTTTTTTAATTTTTTTTAGAACTATTTTGTTATTTTTTCAACCTTGTTTTGAATATTTGACCTAGAATAATATTTTTATTTAGCTTCTATTGCGGTATTTTGATTTTAGAAATAATATTGTGTGTGTAATGTTGTTTATACACTTGGTTCTTTATTGAACTTTTAAAAACTTATAAAAAATTACTTCTTTATGGTGTTCATCATTACAACTCCAGTTTTTGATTATTTATAATCAATTGGTTGTGGTTTTCACACAATAACTATGGTTTTTTTTTATTTAGATAATAACTAGATTGAGTTTTTTTCAATTTGATTTTAGCTTTTTTGAGTTGTATTTAATTTTGATTATAGATTCTAAGGTTATTATACTCTGGGGTTGTATAAAGTGGTATTAGAACTTAGCACTAAAATTAGTTTTTAAAAGAAAAATAGAAGATTAGTTGAAGGTGAAATGAACCTACAACTCAGTAATGAAGCAAAGGTTACAACATTAGCTATAGAAACTAGTTATTTTGTTTGGCTTGATGGACTATTACTAAAACTTTATAATTGTTTTTTTGTTCCAGTGTCTTAAGACATTGTTTCTATTTTATTTAGAATAAAATGGATTTCAATTTATTAGTGAGGACAAATATTGTTCTTTTATAATAATGATATTTTTATGGATATAGTAAGTATATGAATAGTTTGTATATATCTAAATTTAATTTACAATGGTTCAATATAAGTTGCAATAAAATTAAAATACAGATTGAAATAAATAACAAGAAACTTTGATTGGATTGGGATGATTAATATTTGACCAAATATTTCAAGAACTATCTAAAAGAGAATGAGATTCTCTATACCTCTTAAAACACTACATCCATATGAAATATATTCTCAAGGCTAAAACATAAGATATTTAGCCTGAACCTTAGGAAACTCAAAATCTCTAAAAATTTGGTAGGACATATTATACATCAATGAGATAAGGACCTCTTATGGAAATTGTGAGTGACATGTTCATTATAATTTATGAACATACCATTTACTTGGAAGTAATATATGTTATTTATTCCAAGAAATGACTTAAATCTATGAACTTTATGTACTAACCAAGTTTGAAACTTGATTTATATCTACTTATAAGGATAAAACCCAATGAATCTAGAGGGCCCTTTAAGAGAAAACTAACATGGAAGGCAATGTACAAGTGTAAAATGCCTTTAAGAAAAAACTAATATGGAAGGCAATGTACAATGCAAGCTTTAAGGAGTAGAAATATTCAATTTTGATGGTATAATCAACATATTTGATTACATAAAACATATGAATAAACCTTGTGTTTATAAAAAGGTTAGTGTAAATAATATTATTTTTCTAATATTATATGTGGATGACAAATTATTGTTTAGAAATGACATATCTTTACTTTAATAAATAAAATTTTAATTGTCCAAGAATTTATCCATAAAAAAAATTAAAATAAGCAACTTGTTTATTGAATATATAGATTTATAAAGATAAATTTAGAAGATTGCATCGATTGTCTTAATCCATGCATATAGACTAGATGCTAAAATAGCTAAGTATGAAAGAATCTAATATTGAATTCTTATTTATTTTTACATGGAACACCTCTCTCTCTCTCTAAATACATATGTTTTAATACATAGATTGAGAGAGATATAATGACAATCATATCCTATACCAAGATATAGGATCCATCAATGAATAAGATAAACTAGAAGTTCAAAATTGTTTGAATTAAGATTTTTCAATAAAATATTGGAAAATAGTGAATACATGTTTTATTCTAAATAGTAGTGCTTTAAGTTGGAAGAGTTCTAAAAAAAAGAGGCATAACTAATTTCACAACTGAATAAGAATACACTTCCACGTTTAAGAAAACAAACAGGTTGTTTAGATTAAGAAGTTCATTAATAAACTAGGTTGGTTCCTAGCATTATTGATTCAATTGCCATGTATTATGATAACAATGGATCTGTTGTATAAGCAAAGGAATCAAAATCTCATCAATGATCCAAACAAGTACTTAATAAATTCTATTTGATTTGATAAATTAATGAAATGAAAGACTTAAAAATATAGTAAGTACTTATTGAAAAGAATCTAGAAAATCCTTTTACTAAGTTACTATCCATGCAAAAGCATTAATGTTATATGGAGCAATATAATATTAAATTTATAAGAGATTGATTTTAGTGTAAATGAGAGATTGTTAGTTTAATATATTTTGTAGTTAATTAGTTGGTTATATGTGACATTATTATATTCATGTAAATACATATTTATTATTAATAAAGGCTTAATTTATCTTTAATATTAATATAATATTAGATTAATGAATTTATTACTAGATTTATGAATCTAGAGTAAAAATAAAGTCCATGAGATAAAAATATTTTGTAAATAAAATGATAAAGTTGTTATAATTATAAGATTCTTATTGTATCAAAGCATTATAATTAAAATGTTCTTGGTCGATGCTGTCTTGAATACTAGATATTTATTAGAGTTGTAGAAACTATACAAATATTATATTTTTTTTCTTTATCAAATAAAGCAATTATTCTTATAAGATGATGTGCAAACTTCTCAACATTTAGGAACAAATTTCATTATATTTAATCCAAAAATAGTGTTAATTTTTTTTTTATCGATTATAGAATGATTAACTAATTTAACTGATTATTCAATCGATCAACCAAATTGGTCTAAAGATATCCATTTTACTATCTCATCAAAATTTTACTGAAATTTTAGAAGAGTTTTCTTTGTGTTCGGAATATCTCAAGTCTTAACATAAAATTCAAAACACAAACAATAACACTTCATAATCATAAACACCGTAGCTTATCACCTCAATTCTAATCCAATTATCTTGGATCTCATCTTATTATATCTATAATTATATAATTCATTCTCATCAACTTATATCACTAAGATATCTATTATTTATTTCATATCCATCATAATAATAATTTAAAATATCAAAACAATACAATAATTTTACATTTTCTAAGAGATAAATATAACTTAAATTAATTATATTATTAAACATATTAACATAATTAAGACGATGATAATTGTTAGTTAAACTTCATAACAAAATCAAGTATTTGAAATTATAATCCACAAGCTTAATATTACAACATTATAGTCCTTATGTATTTAGATCTACACAAAAATACTAACTAATAATTATTCTTGGCGAGCTTGTGAATTACGTCAAACAAAATCAATAATATTTATTAAGTTACAAGTTAATATCTTATTTATCACTTAAAAGACATTTTAAAATTTTTTTTATCTAGACAATATATTTAATTCATTTCATATAATTATCCAAAGTTCTCTTTACATAAATTTATTCAACCATAGACAAATCTCGTAATATTCATAACTCAATTCATCATTCTAGTTTGCGACAACCCAACCTTTAAAAAATTATTTAAAATCAAAAGAAATTAGATTTTAAAGTAATAAATCTTTACACAACTCTATTGTTTTCTAATAGGATCCTTAGGACTCCCAAATAATTTTTTTTATTATCTTCATTGCGTGAATAATATTCGAGAACCCAACAATTTTCTCCTCCTATAAGTTAAGAGGTACTATAAACTTATCAACATGACATTTATCATTCCTTTTAGAATTTAGTTTTTACATTCAATAATGCTATTTTGTTCATACAAATAAAGAGTGGTAGTATGGTGAATAATATCATTTTAAAAATAAAAACTTGTGAAAAGATGCATCATACTTTCCATCTTCATCACTTTTTATTACCTCTAATTTTTAATTAAATTAATCTCCAATTCATTCTTGTAATGTTTAAAAACTCCAAAAGCTTTATTTTTGCTTCTTAGCAAATAGATATAACAATATCTTATACATTTATTTACAAAAATCCATGATAATGAGTAAAAAAAATCTAAAAAATGGATATCATGGGTCAAATGATGGATTGAGATTTTTTAAACTTGGTCAATCTAACCTAATCCCTATTCCTTATATTCCTTTTGACTTTATATTTGATTGTTTATGGACTAAATATTTATTTTTATTTTATTCAAAAATATTTTGGCTTCAATTTTTTTTTTAATGGGCTTCCTATTAGATTTCTTCAACGTCACAAAAAATAACTTGTCTCTCTACTAAAGGGGATATGAGACATAATTAGAATTTAATGGTGGTGTGAGGCATACAAATTAGATATAATATTGGGGTGTCATAACACTTAAGGCAACTCCAATATAAGTGCTAAATGGAGAGCCAAAAATAAAAAAAAAGTAATATTTTAGCTTTTCTTTAGTTGTTTTGCATGCTAAAAAGGAAGCTAAGTGCTAAATGGAGAGCCAAAAATAAAAACAAAGGTAATATTTTAGCTTTTCTTTAATTGTTTTGCATGCTAAAAAGGCTGCTAAATAAAATGCTAAAATATTTTTTCTCTCTTGTCAATACTTTTCTTACATATCTCTAAAAAAACCAAAATCAACAAAGTGGGCCCAACGAAAAAGAACCAATTAAATATAGTTACGTAGGACAACAATCTTTTCGTCGTGTCAGTTACGTAGAAAAAAAAAATCAAAATCATTAAGAAAAAATTAAGCACTTATTTGTTCCATTCTAATACAATTGGTTTTAAATGTTTTTTTTTTCAATAGAGTATACATGGTTAAAAAAAATTATATTTATACTATTTAAAATACTATTTTATTAATTTAAGTCTTTAAAATAATAACTCCAATGAAAAATGCTTTTATAGTGTATGTTGGAGCTCTGCATGTAAATATAAACACATAAAAATTAACAATACAAGCTAAGCATTTGGATATTTTTAATATTCATATAAAAAATGTACTTGATATATCTAATAATAAAAAACTTTTAATAAATAAATTTGTAATTTAAAAAATATAAAAAATTAAATGAAATACAATTATACACTTAAATCCAATCTAACTATATCAACTAATACCACTAACTAAAATACTTTAAAATATAAGAATTAATTAAAAACAAATGTTTTTTTTTTAAAAACCACTTACACATCATCGTCAACGACAGACTGTGTAATTCACCCTAAAGTCAAAGGAAGATGAGAAGAAGAAGAAAAGAGAAGGGCGGGGCCGGGAGTGTCTGATTTTCAAACAGACAACAAACGGAACGAAAGAGATCGGATTCCAAATACAAATTAAAAATAAAAAATAAAAAAAACCTTCTCTTTTTTATTGTTATATCTTGGATTGCGTGCAGAAGCAAAACCCACATAAATTCCATTACCCCCAAGAAAAAACAAAAAGTAAAAAAAAATTAACGTGCATTTACCAAGCAAAGCGACGAACACTCTTTTCCTTGTTCTTGGTAGGGTTGTGTTCAGAGAGAAATCAATAAATGTGTCCTTCTATTCAGCTCCAAGGCCGTACCTTTCATGGTGTTTCTCTCCAGTTGCTTCATTTTCCTGAGAGCTGCTCTCTACCTACTAAGTAATGCCTTTCCTCTCTTTTATTTTCATTTGCAGATTAAAAGAAAAACATTGCTCATATATATATATATTTACTTAGGATTTCCTTTCCTTCTTTCTTTCTTTATTTTTTTTCTATGAAGTTTTAAATTAAAAGCTGAGATTTTGTGATTTGTTGTTTGTCCATTTTGTGTTTTTTTATGTCTTAGACCCTTTTTGAGATTTGACTTCCTTTTGGGCTCAATGTAAAATCTTGATTTTTTTTTTAAATTTTGTTTATTATAATTTCTTTTCTCATTTAATTTAAGGTTCTTTAATGAGTTTGAGGTCTCTTAGCTTTGAAAGACCATTTGTTTTTTGCTCTAATGGGTTTTGTGACTGTGTCAAGATCTCCTTTGTGTTATCTAAATTATGCTTTGCTGTGCTAACTACGATCATTTATTGGAACAAAGTCCAGTCCCTTTTAGTTCTAAAAATCTTGCTACATGGCGCACATGCAAAGGGAAGGGGCTGTTTGGTTTGTGTGTTTTATGAAGTCATGTTTTTCTTAACTTTATGGCTCTAATATATCGTGGCTCTGCAGAAAAGAAGGGTGTGTATGACTAAAACGTGTGTTTTTTTTTCCTTCACTGTTGGTGCTGAAATTATGAATAGCAATTTTAGTATATTTCCTTTGCTTCTGGTTTTAACTTCTATGAATTTGATGTTCAAAGATTCATATTGAATAAACATGAGTGGAAAACTTTTTCTACACAATATTTGATAATTTTCATCATTTAGGCTATAGAGTGGGCACTCAGTGTGGAATCATTTAAATATAAATTAACAATGAAGGTGAACTGTGTACATTTATTCATTCAAAATAACTTGTGGTGTTAAAGAGGTAGATACGATTTATTTCCCGGTGTGTTTCCCACTGACGCTTTGAATGCGAAGTTTTTTTCTATTTTTTTGGCATGCAAAATGATATTAAGGAAAGTGAAATGTGGGTATTGATTTCCGGAATTCTTTAAGGCTTTGGTCTTACAGGGAACTTAGCATGTTTTTGCAAAGATTTATGTGCATTAGAGATTAGTCTTTTGTGGTACATTTACATGGTTTGTTTATTACACCTGGTGAGTTACTCTCGTATCATGTTTCACAAACTGTGAACTTACATGGGTTCACCTGTTTTGGATGAGCTTAGGTGAGTTAGAGTTGTGGTAGTTTTGGTTTCCCTTTGCAGTCAAACAACTTTTTTTTTCTAGGTGTGAACATTATGTGCTGTGCAGGTTGGGTGTATGGTACACCTTTCTTGTTTCTCCACTCCATCTAAATGTTAATTTTATATATTCTGGATGTTCATCTATCCGTAAACTAGTTATGCCAATTTTTCCTTTCTTCTTTTCTCTTTGATCTTGGCATTTCTGTGATGTAGCTTTTTTATATTTTATTTTACTTAATCTTGACAATGGTTTTATTTTACTTAATTTTGGTATTCCTTTATCAAGAATACTGTTTTATCAGTTCTCTAATTTGTAGAAGGGAAGCCCCAACTTCTTTTTCTGTTTATCTTTTGATGCACGTTTGAATGCTATGCATAAGCATAAGTCATTTGCTCACACTACCTAGCGTCTTGTAGAATTGTGTGATAGCTCCCATGTGACCAATCTGATTTCGTCAATCCATGGCATGAGCATTTTATTGTGTTTTCTACTCGGTTTCATATGGTATTTTGCATTTGCAAATACTGTTAATTAAATGCTTGTAAGTTTCTTATTCTCAGAACTCATTTTATGAGTTGTTCAATTAATGGTTAACTATCCTAGATAACATGGCATGTGAGTCAAAAGCATGATAGGTACTTTGGCATGTTAGTAGAGTGTGCTGCAAAGATGCTTCCTGGTGAACTGGTATCTTAAGATTCATAAATTGCTATTGGTAGCTGTAGATGGGGGCAAATGAGATTTGACAACTTCTAATTTTCCTAACATTTGGATGTTATGATAACTGTCTTCGGTTATGTTAATGGAACTTCCCGGGTGATTTTTTTTGGCTGTAAAAGTTTCTTGTAATTTATGGTGTCATCGCACTCCATGTTCATTCCTTTTGTTTTATTCTGTCAGGTTTAAAGACAATAGTATTCATGATCTCTTCGAGCATTGGACATGAAACATTACTTATTTTAAGGTAATGCAGAATTTATGAATTAATATATTTGAGATTTGGAGTAGGGAATGAAGCCATCGGTCCGCCTAGCTTAGGGTAGATGTACTGTATTTGACAGTTTCTGTAAATTGTTAATGTATTCTGAGATTATTTAGCTGATTATTTTTAATCTCATTTCACTTTAGTGCCATTATCTATTTATACTCACTCTCTGCCTCTCTAAAGCAGAGGCATTGGGAGTTTCATTAGATTATCCTCTCTAATAGCTAGGCGCCTTGGTCTGAAAGTGAAATTTTGTTGCAGGGCTGATATTAGTTGGCATGTGACTGGGCAAAACCAACAGTGTTTGGGAAAGTAGTGCAAATTATGATCTTTTGAATTTTAAATTTTTTTTGTTTGAAATATTTTTTTTTATGTTTTTGGATAGGCTGATGTAAAAAATAATTTTTTAAAAATAAAAAAATATTTTAATATATTTTAATTTAAAAAATCATTTTGAATTGTTATCGGCATTACAATTCAAAAAATCCTCAACATACCCTACTTGAAGGATGAAACTGCAGTTATTTTTTGATGATCCTACTTTAATTGGAGCAGAACCAGATACAGACTCGTGTCTTTTTGGGTCAATAGCAGAGTTCATGTGTTAGCTGGTGGGATGGAGAGTATTCTATGGAGAGAAATAGTAGGCTTTCAACTCCTGATTTTATAGAAATTAGAGGTTTACAGAAATTGTAGAATAGGTCTTTTTTGCATTGTTTTTTTCCTCAAAAAAAAAAAAAAAGGAAAAAAAGCATGAGCAACTTTTGAAAAGGGCAAAATTATAATAAATGGATACGCAACTGAAGATATCTAATATAGAAAAAAAAAATTAGCTAATGAATTATGAAAATGCATCCTTTATGTATAAGAAATTGTGAGCATTTCACAAAACTTCCAGTGAAACAAAAAAATTATTATTCTTATTTAAATTCGATATGCTTTTATAGAATTAAACTGATTTTCTATCTATTCTATATATAAATGGATCTAATGACTAAAGAGCTGTATGATAAAAATAAATCACGAACGTAGAACATAAAAAAATTAAAAATATATGGACAATAAATAAAATTCTAAAAATAGTGAATAATCATTATGTTTTATCAATAACTTGTACCTTTGATTTCAATGGTAATTGATGAAGTTCTTTGATTTTTCTTTTTCAACGTGTAAAGGAATTACTGTGGCATGGTTTATCTTGTCACATGTCGGGTCAAGAGCGAGTGAAAAATAAAGGATTTGAGATTACACACAGAGAACACAAAAACTAGAAAATACAAATTGTAAGAATTTGTGCCTATATTTTTTTTTTTAAAATTTGTTAATTAAAGATTTATTACTGATTTGTTTTTGCTTTAAATAATTTTTTTTAGCTTTGAATAATATTCAAATATTAATATGGAATAATTTTAGAAATTAACTCAATTAAATTCTAGATTTTTCTATGTTTAGAAATACAATTCTTTTATTAATATTATTATTGTTCTTACTTTCTAAAATATAGCTTAATAAAGTAATACTTAATTAAACTATTTTAATTTAATTTTTGATTAATGGTTTTAATGTGTATGATTTATTATATTTCTAATATGTTGACCCAAATATAAATTATAATTATAATAAAATAAAATTAAATAATTTAATTTATTATCAATTTAATAATTAATTAATTTATATTTGAAAATTAGGTGCATCGTTTAGCAATGTGTCATGATTCTTCAAATATTAAAAAAGTCATTAGTAGTTTGACTTAACCTTTTAGTAACCGTTTTCTTAGTGTAATTACATCATTTTGTTAATAATGTTTCAGTTTAATATTAAAGCATGAAGCATGTCTTCCATGTTAAATTATGTTTGTTCTCTACATGATAATCATTGATCATTTGAATAAGGCTTGAAATTCTTTTCAAATCTCATTCCACCTTTATCAATAATTTCTCATTCAATATTATTTGAGAATAAATAAAATATTTTCTTTAATTCATATAGAGTAATGAATCCTATGTTGATCATTCAAGTACCTTTAAATAACTCATGCTATAACTAATGTCTGCCTCTTCATTACCTCAAATAAGATAATATGTAACATAATTAAAACATAATATTTTTTATATAGAATAATTTAATGATCTTAAGTCTAATGATCATTTACATAATTATTACGTACATGTGATCTCTTCATATGAAATTCTTATATAGGTCATTTCAGTTTATATGTCATATAACAAGTACTTAAATATTAGTTTCAAGTATTCCTTATACCTCTACTTATGATAATAATTGTTTTCTCTCGTAAAGGAAAGAATATAATATGTACTAGTCTCAACAATCCTAATAAATATCTAATATTTAAAAGAGTATCGATTATAAATATTTTAAGAACAATGTTTTGATGCAATAAAAATCCCATAATTATAATAGCTTTATAATTTTATTTGCAAACTTTTTTTTTTTATCTCATGGACTTTATCTTTACTCTAGATTCATAAATTAAATATTATACCTCAACTTATAAAAATAACTGCTTTTTTTCATTAAAAAAGAACATAATATATATTAGTCTCTATGACTCTAATAAATGTTTAATATTTAAAAGATTATTAACCATAAACATTTTAGGAATAATGCTTTGATGTAATATAAATTCTATAATTACAACAACTTTATAATTTTATTTGTAAAATATTTTTATTCTATAAATTTTATCTTTATTATAGATTAATAAATAAAATATTAGATTCATTAATATAATATTAATTAAAGATAAATTAAGTTTTTATTAATAATAAATATATATTTACGAACCAACTAATTAAACTAACACGTGTGTTATCTACTACTATATCTAGATTTAGGTGGCATATACCTTAAATTTATTTGACATTCTGGTTTGATATTTCTTGAAATGTTAAGCGGTTTAAGATGGACAGGAGATAATGTATAGGTTAAAAGGAAAAGGTGGCATCCTATACGGTACGAGTAACGCTGATAACGTGCACAAAATTGATTTGTGGCAAGGGTGGGAAGGGCTCCCTGAGCCTCCGCCATTGTTATGTCTCCCTGCCATTTTTTTACAGCGATTTGTACCTTGTTTAAAAAAGAATTCTCAAGTCAATGAAATGAGGTGAAGAACAGAAAAGAAATAAATAAATCTTAACTAAGGCTACAGAACTCTCATGACTTCAAGCTATGATTTTCCAGTGACTTCATGCAAAAAGATCGATCATCTCATCTCATCTCATGTAGTCAACAACTCCATTTCTTTTAAATATCATCGGGCGAAACCCATGTCTCCAAATAAAGATTTTCTTTCACATCCAACATGGTAAGGAATTTTTTTTGGGTATTAAATAAATATATAATTTTTTAAGATAAATTATTAATTTAGGTACATGAATTTTTAAAATTAATAGTAAAATTTGAATTTTTAAAATTAACATTAAAATTTTAATTCAAATACACTACTCAAAATATTAAAAAATAAATTTGAAAGTATATAAAATTAAGTAAAAGTAAAAATAAACTCACTATTAAAGTTATATATTTTTATATTTTGTGAAATATAATTCATCTATAATCAAATTTGAATCAATATTGTAACAACTTCTTAACCATAATAAAATAACAAACTATAATCAAATCTGAATCGATATTCTAACCACTCCTTAATTAGAATAAAATAACAATATCTTGTCAACTGAAAAACAAAGTAATTAAATTTTTTTCCTCTCTCAACTCCTCACTTTACTTGATTCTTTCTTAGATTAATATTTTATAAGTTATAGTTTGTAAGGTTATAAGGTTATTGTCTCACTTTTCTTATTTTTTTTCATGGGATTTTTTTTTAATATTTTTCCTTACTTTTCTCTCCTTTTCTCTTGTCTTTTCTTTTCTTTCTTTTTCTATTCTGCTTCTATCCAGTTGACAACATATAAAAGGAAGAAATAATTGATTTGTTTTATTTTTTAATGGCAAATAACCATTTTACCCTTAATGAGTTGTTTTGCTTTTATTTGATGTTTTTTTAGCACTACTAAACTCTGTTCATCTTAAAATTTTAACCTGATTTTATTCAATATATTTTAAGATCCCTTGTTAAATTTTAGTTCAATCTAATAGTCGGATTGAAAATTACACCAAATAATATAAAACTGGTAAAATGATATTTTTTTTAATCAAACTTTGATTTTTTTCAAAAATTCTGAAATTTTCACTTCAACTAAAACATCATATTTGAAGGTTCTAAGTAAATTTTTAAAATTTTTTGATTCTTTAATTGAAAATTACAAATTTTATTTACATAAAATTAATAAAATCTTGACCTGGACTAGAGCTCACCAGAGCCTATACATGTGTCCTTGTTCATATCTATCCAATCCCAGCACTATTGTGTGTTTTTCTTTCAGGATAAAAATAAAAATAAAGTAAAGGATTGCTTCTTGAGCAACATCCTTGACTTGGTTTGATACTCTTTGCCCAAAGATTTTAAGGAAAAAAATGGCTAAGAAATTCACAATCACATTCATCCTTTGGGATATATTGACCACCATGTAAATGAATCGAATCTGAATCGATATTGTAACAACTCCTTAACCATAATAAAATAACAAACTATAATCGAATCTGAATTGATATTCTAACAACTTCTTAACTAGAATAAAATAACAATTTCATGTCAACTGAAAAACAAAGTAATTAAATTTTTTTCTTTTCTCAACTCCTAACTTCACTTGATTCTTCCTTAGATTCGTATTTTATAAGTTGGATTTTGTAAGGTTATAAGGTTATTCTCTCACTTTTTTTATTTTTTTTCATTGGATTTTTTTTTTGTTTTCCCCTACTTTTCTCTCGCCCTTTCTTTTCTTTTCTTTTTCTATTCTGTTTCTACCCAGTCGGTAACATATAAAATAAAAGAATAACTGATTTGTTTTATTTTTTAATGGCAAATAATCATTTTACCCTTAATGAGTCATTTTGTTTTTATTTGATATTTTTTTAGCACTACCAAACTCTGTTTATCTTAAAATTTTAACCATATTTTATTTAATATATTTTGAGATCCCTCATAAAATTTCAGCTCAATCTGATAGTCGAATTAAAAATTACACTCAATAATATAAAATTAGTCAAATGATATTTTTTTAATCAAATTTTGAATTTTAAAAAAAATTCTGAAATTTTAACTCCAACTAAAACATCATATTTGAAGGTCCCACGTAAATTTTTAAAATTTTTTGATTTTTCAATTGAGAATTATAAATTTTTTTAATATAAAATTAATAAAAAAAATATTGATAAAATCTTGACCTGGACTAGAGCTCACCAGAGCCTATACATGTGTCCTTGTTCATATCTATCCAATCCCAGCACTATTGTGTGTTTTTCTTTCAGGATAAAAATAAAAATAAAGTAAAGGATTGCTTCTTGAGAAACATCCTTGACTTGGTTTGATACTCTTTGCCCAAAGATTTTAAGGAAAAAAATGGCTAAGAAATTCCACAATCACATTATATTGACCACCATGTAAACGACTCTTTCAAAGTAGGGGTACAGGAGAAAATATGCATTAAAATTCTTACTCAATCAACAATTTAACATATTCATGTTCATAGGAACCTAGATCGTGTGCATTCACGATGGCTAAACCTGCGTCTTCGATCGGCACAGTAGTTGTATAACATGTAATACTTTTGCACCCATCGGAGCAATTTTCTACCATGCACATCAAGATCTTGAGTCAGCCAACCCTTGAATCCACTAGAGTCAGTAGTGAGTGCACTGAAGTTTCTGTAATATGCAGTGAAAGGAGCCATGGACCAGTCTGTTTTCACTTTCCCACCTTGTGTCGCCCAATCCTCTGCATCCCAGAGGCTTGCTTGAATCTTCATGGCCTGGTTTTTGGGATAAGGAACTCCAATGGATTCTAAATTACTGAACACCCTTATGGGAATGTTATCTACTAAAATACTGCAAGAAGAAACATACAGATGCAATTTGTTTTAAACGAAGACAGTGCCTAATTATTTTTCATTTTATCTATGCGAAGGTCGCTGATTTTTGTTCGATTATACACGTAAAGAAATCGAGTAAAGCCCGAGCTGAAAATGCCTTACATGATGCGTTGGGGATTCCATAGAATTGAGTACGTGTGAAACTTCAACGTTGGATCGAACCACAGGCGGAATTCTTGCTCCCTATTCCCTTGTCCTTGGGTATACACATTGGTATGCAAAGTATAAGGGTTCCCACTTTGGTTTCCCAAGAACTCGAAGTCAATCTCGTCATGCTTGTTTCCTTGCGATGTTAGCTGCAAGAAAAATACATGACGTAAATTCTCAGATTTTAATGTTCTACAGACAATGCTGTTTGATGCGAGGAGAGATGATGATTTATATGGTTATAAAAGTATCCTCCCAAGTTTCAATCCAATCATATATATATGTATGATAGAATCCATCTTAATATTATCTAGTTGTTGCCAGCTTGTCTATTCGTTCAATTTATGAACCAAAAACAATACCAAATGTGATGATAAAGATGAAACTCACATAGAAGGTGGTGACAGTCCCTGCAGAGTTTCCAGGGACAAGCTTCATTTGCACGTCGAACCTTCCAAAGAGATATGCTCTCTTGGATTGGAATCCGGAGCCTGAAGTCTTGTCAAGAGAAAGGGAAAGTGTGTTCCCTCGGCGTAGTATCTTGCCCCGACCATCTCCCCATGTAATGTCTACATCTCGGTAGAAATTACCTGCCGAAGCAGCAAGGAGGGAACTGACAAACAGAGAAACCAACAATGTTATTGAAACTCTATTCGCCATCTTCTAAGGAAAAGAAGGGAGTGAATCAATATGATAGGCCCCGGAAAAGAAGGGAGTGAATCAATATGATATGTCCCTCTTCTTCTGCATGACGACTCTTTAACCCTTAAATTCGTGAACAGAAAAAAGAAGGGCGATATATATGTACGTACAGGTCACGCCTTACATGAAACCATCAATAATCACCGCATTTACTATATATAGGCGTATATGCCATCTCAAAATTATCAGAAAAATTCAGAATTAGAGTCCACGGAACTAGATAAAGATGAAAATATGAAAATTTGGAACAAGAGTTGATATGTACTTTCTTGAACTTGATAAGATAATTGCATTGCTAGGAATCCTGGCCGTTAACGGCTAGGAAAATTCCCAAGAATTGCAACTCCTCTCCACAAAAAGGCGTATTTGCATGGTCAACTTGATTTTCGTACGCAGATCCAATTGGCAACACAAGATAAAGCAAATTCAACGGCAGAAAGAAAGGGAAAAGAAGAAATGAATGGCACAAAAACCAGTATTGGAGAGAGAAAACATAAGAAAAATTAAAAAAAGATATAATAGGATGCCAGAGTCATACTAGAATTCTGATGACAACATGCTCAACGTCAACAAAAAAATATTGATAAAATGAATCTATAGATACTAAAAAAAGCCACAAAACAAGACCATAGTGAGCTACATGTGTTGTTCAAAGACAACAAGTAGCTTAATAATTAGCATATGCATTACACATGTTAGCTAAAATCTTCCTAGCGATTTGGATCAGTCCAAATTGATATCATTCTTGCCCAGACTACTAGCTTTCTTGGCTGAGTAAGCCAACCTAAATGGCAAGGATTCCTTAGTATTTGAGTCATCCCAAACAATTAAGATTCCTTTCCTGTTTCTCCCTTTCTCTATCTCTCCCCCTCTCACTTTTCTCTCTCACCCTCCCTTACCCTGTTAAACATATACTTCAAAATATTTTCAGTCTCAATGAGCCAGAAATACACTATCCACTTGCGTGTTGCACAACACCCTTTTCTACCGATGAACATCCGTCAACTCTCTCTAACTAATAATTGTCTCTTTAAAATTGTCTCAGACCAACTTCTTCACTAATGGCACAAGACACCATAGCCAATGATGGGCACTAACTTCTTCACCAATAGGACATTATCTTTTCTTTATTATTCATGAGGTAAACTGATATGACCAGATTTATAAATATCTTAGGTTATCATTAGGTAAAAACCAAAACTTCATATACAATTACATAAGTCATATAAAACACATGTAACACTATCTATTTCACAAATTATTCTGCCTTGATATACATATTCTTTTCAAACATACACGCTCCTATCCTTTATGATAAAAAACTTGTTTTGCAAGAACAAAAATCAATCACTAACCAATGATGCAATTACAGAAAGCCCAAATCTATTAACAACATTGTATAGATTTTCTCGGTCAAAGTACTAGAGCTAGTATGTTGCTTGTGCTCTATCTTTTATTTTTATACTCTCAACTCCAAGCTTGTATATCACTTCAATATAAGCATTTTATCTGAAAAGAATATAATTAAGCTTTTTGCCATCACATAACAAAAAGATGAAAACACTAGAATATATCTCTAAAGATTTAATGAAAAAATATTTAATGTGAAAACACTACTTAAACCATTGCCATTGAATCACTATTTAGTGGAGTTTATAATTATTTCTTATAATAATAACTATATACTATCCATGATCAAAACCTCTTCAAAATGAAACATGTAATGAAAAATTATATTCATATAAAAAAACAAGCACGACAAGATAAGGACATCCTCGTTTCTAGTCACCTATAGCACAATCTCCTAAGCATCATAGCTATCCTAGTTTTAAGCATGCTAAAGGAGCACTAAAAGATTAATTCTTGAGTCCTAAGCATCATAGCTATCCTAGTTTTAAAAGGAGCACTAAAAGATTAATTCTTGATCACTTGATATTTCATTAACTTTAGACCACACCTCTTATAACCATATGTGTTAAGTTATTTCCTGTCATTAAGGGTAAATATGTCATGCAATACCCACCTCTCATAAAAAGTGGCTCAAATATAAAGAACTCTCACAAATTTTATCTCTTTAACCATGACAATAAGCATGGCACTGCAGAATATCATGCACTTAAAAAAGACATATAAATATTTATTACTAGATGTTGCCTTCATCAATTTATGATATAAAAAAACCATAACAAAAAGGGAAGGAAGTTTGCATATTCGATAATGAACTGTCTTATTTTGACAAGATACGTGTTATGTAGAAACAACTAAGCATAAGCACATACATAAATGTGTATGTATATGTATGTATTTATTCACTAGGAGGGACAAATTGAATAGAAGGATATGAAGCTAACTTTAATTTTAAGGAAAAAGCTATGATAATTTATCGAGAATATACATTTATTTGCATAATTACAACCATGGTTTGTCCTCCCCATTTGTTGTATTTTATTTTAATTAATTTAACAAAAAATATCCCTAAAAGTGAATCACAAGCAAATACTTTGAGATTATTCAATAATAAAATATTATTTTTCTTTTTTTCTTTTTTCTTTCCTTCTCTTTTTTTTTAATTTTTTTTTGCTATTTACAAAAAAAAAAAACTTGTTCATTTATTAAAACTTTAAAGTTTCAAAACATTATTTTAACTTAAAAAACTAAAAAATATATTCACGTTATATTACTTTTTGTTTAGAGAAAAATAACAAAATGAAAATTTTATTCAAATTAAACTTGTTTTTCATGATATTCTTTATATTTTGGTATAGACAATTTTTTTTTTTTAATCTTAAAGGTATTGATGAAAATCAACAAGCAACACCACATAATCCATTATGTATGGCAATTGAGCTAATTACAAGATCGAAGACCAAAAAGATTAAAAAGACTTTCCATGGGCTAATTCAAGATATTTAGGGCAAGTTAAGCTTCAAGGTTTTAACAAAGGGCGATTGACATGACTAAAAGGTTGATGTCTTCTCCTAAGTGCAGGAATGTTGAAGTAATAAATAACCCGGTAAGACCGGGGTCGAACCACAGGGAGGTTAATTGTACAAATTATAAACGACAATAGTACAACAACAATAATAATAGATAAGATCTGAATTTTTCACATGCAAATACTACTGCAAGTAATTCTTTTTCAGTGGTGGTATAATTCATTTGAGCACTATTTAAAGTTTTACTTGCATAGTAAATTACATAAGGTTTCTTATCTTTTCTTTGTCCCAAAACAGCACCTACGGCATAATCACTAGCATCACACATTATTTCAAAAGGTAATGACCAATCGGGAGGTTGAATGATAGGAGCACAAGTAAGCAAGTTTTTAAGTTTAACAAAGGCTTCTTCACAATGTTCAGTCCATTCAAAAATAGTATCCTTTGTTAGAAGGTTACTTAAAGGCTTAGATATTACACTAAAATCTTTGATGAACCTTCTATAAAAACCAGCATGTCCCAGGAATGATCTAACATCTTTAAGAGATTTTGGTGTTGGCAAGTTTGCAATTAACTCGATTTTAGATTTGTCAACCTCAATTCCTTTTGATGAAACAATGTGACCAAGTACAATGTCGTTTGTTACCATAAAATGACATTTTTCCCAATTCAGCACAAGATTCTTCTCTTCACACCTGGTCAAAACCTTTCTTAAGTTAGTCAAACAATTATCAAACGAATCGCCAAAAACAGAAAAATCATCCATGAAAATCTCAAGAAAATGTTCAACCATATTGCTAAAT